GAAGAGTTTATGAAGAATGGATAACTCTCCTTGAATTGTTCAGCAGAATTCACCAGTGAAGTCATTTGGGCCTGAACAGACTCTACTTATTACTGTACTGTACTTATTACTTTAAGTCTGTTGATCTTACAACTTCATGAGACCTTGTGCCAGTTATCAATTTATTGTCCTTCACTCCAAATTCATCCTTTATCACCTTCTCTGAGAAAACAGATCTGGGCCTTTTAAATGCTTTTCCTTTGCCAGTTGTCATGATGTTAAATTTCATTGGTAGAAGGCCTATGAAATGGAGCGAAACAATGAGGAAGAATGAGTTTACTTCCTGGTTCTGATGTGCTCACTGAAACTGTGGTTGGTGAATTGCTTGGTATAGCTCATTTAGCCACGGTCTTTGTGACTTCCACCAGATGACTGAGTGGGACTACGCAAATATGAAGTGCTTGTGGTCCACCAAGGGGATTGGATAGCTTACTAATAATGTAATTAAGGCACACGGTACCCTTGTGGGGGTGGGACACTGCAAATAAGGTGTATGTAACCCTAATGTGGGGATTGATCGGTTTTGCCATTCCACTGGGCTTAAAGTGAGCCATCCCACTCATGGTATGATGTTAGCTATGGGTTTTTCATAAATGCCCACATAAAGGGGGATCTCATGCCACCAAGAGAGAGAAGATGGGAGTGAGGCACATCCTTTGACCCGACATCCCTGCACCAAGTCAATGATAGACCGTGACTAGCAGAACCAAGAGACTGGCACAAGACAGAATGGTGGGCTTGCCAGCCCACGAACCAAGAAAGCCGAGTTTCTTTTGGGCATGAGGCTTGCTGGAAGAGTGGGGTGCACCTATGGGAAGAGCTAAAGGAGCTTTTTAACATTTGCCTGAGCAGGGCAGAGGCCAGGCCAAGAGGCCAGAGGCCAAAGAGAGGTGTGCCTGCTGGTATGGCTGAGGGGAGGCTGTCCTGATCGAAGGAATGTATCTTGAGCATTCCTGAATCTGAATTGTAACCTCTTACTTCCCTAATAAATCCCACCATCATGAATATTTCTGAGTTCCATATGGCCACTGCAACAAATCACTGAGCACAGCAGAAACTCACGAGAGTGCCATGACACAGTCTGATGGTTGGTGTCAGATTAGCAAATA